GTGGTTCATCAGGACCGCCCCAAGCATGACAGAATAAGGATATTCTTTAAATTCTTTCATTTGGTGCAGTGGACCTTGAGCGATAAAGGCCATGTACAAAGTCAACTTTTAACGACTGTATCGGAAAAGTATGATCATAACGCTAACGCATTTATTAAAGTAGGAAATTCAAGCTATGTACTCCTGTACAAGTATTAAGATCTTGACAAGTGAAGATTACCATGGCTAGAAAAAATTTCAAGAATTCGGGTTTGGCGCAAAGCTAAATTAATTCTTTCAAAGCTTAAAACTCTGCACTAAGTTAAGCATTATGAATCTTTTGAGCACAAAATGGATTTGTTAATTGCTAAATGGAATTCACTTATTAAACTTACCCATTTCTTGTTTAAAGCCAATAATTTTGCCTTTCAGACAAAACAGTGTATAATCCTTCAATTTGTTTCGCATCCCTACAGAGCTAATCCACTCAATATGAGATGACAAAATGATTTAAGCTTAAAGGCCCTATATAGCATCGACAAATAGCAGCTCGATGGGAGGTAAAGTAAAAAACGTGAACCTTAAAGCAATAAACATTTTGATTCTACCTCAGGTAGAATATGAAAACCATGATTAAGACAGACAGGCAGACCAAATAAGTTATCGAAGAACCTACATCCCATTCAACAGACAAAAAGAGCTGGGCAGGAGCAGTCGTATGCGCCACAGACTTGAAGCTTCTCCAAGATTGCTTGACTATGTTGGGCTTTACAACCTCTTTTTCGCAGATGAATTGCGGTTTTTCGCAGCCAGAGATATGCACATGAACCTTAAGTCCACTAGGTGAGAGACACGGTCGTGAAGATGTTGTGGTAACCAGAGTAACAGGGCTCGCAGGAGTGCTGCTGAGTGCTAGTATTGTAGGGTCAGAAGATCTTTTGACAGAGGAAGCCTCTGGCTGGGTGTGAGCGATGACACGAAATACTAGATTGGAGGCGAAAGGTAAGCTGAGGGAAAGATTTTTAAAATAAAAAAAGCAGCACTTAAAATGATCATCAGATTAAGCGATAAGTAAATACCACGATGGGGATAATTAAAAAATAATAATTCCCTGTTGCTACATAAAAATTAGAAAGGTAACTATTTTTGATTCCAAAAGAATATGAGATAGCTAATCAGGAAAAAGACAAGCTTGAAAAGCAAAGTAATACACTAGATAAAGAAATGCAATTTATGTAAAAAAACATAGATTGAGAAGGAAAAACAGAAAAGTTGGCTATTCCTAGCTTATACGATTTGCCTGTGATCTCAGAACGATTATAGCCCTCTTCCTACCGAATGTCTCAGTACCTTTCCTAATATATTCCCAATTCTACTTGATATTATCAAGTCTTACCTCGACAACTGCTCGAAATTTCATATAATTCGATAAATTCAAAGGATGCATCAAATGAAATGAGCTCAATTAAGGGCTACTGATCCGATGTCGACCGAAGAAAGAAGACTGGTAGCTGAATTTTCCCACCATTTCAACTAGCGCCCTTGAGTCACAGGGCAGATTTTAATTTAAAGGAAGGCTAGGCATTTTCCCATATCACGTTCTGTTGTTGGATTGCCGATGAAGTAAAGTTATCTTTGCTATGAAAACCGACTACATTGCTTAATTTTCGTTCATAAGTGGGATTACATTTCATATGACTAACTTGCGGATAAACTGACTGACTATAAACACTATTTATGAACGAAAAATAAATAATACAGCAGATTGCCATAACAAAATTAACTTTGCTTCATCGACAATCCCTCAACAGAATGTGATATAGAAAATGTCTGGCCTTCCTTGAAATTCATATCTGCTCTGTGACCCAGGGTCACTCGTGGCAATGTGGCGTAGTGGCTAAGGTGTTAAAATTACATGTTGTGCCGTCAAGAAATGTGCAATTCAACGTATTATGGTGATGAATCTCCAAACGAAATTTGATCACTATCTCCCTCTTTAAATGTCAAAGGGAAATCTATATAGCAGTAAGGAATAATGGTTAAAAATAATTATCAAACCATCTACCGCCAGCTAGTAATTTTTATGTTAAGCATATAACCTGGAAAGTCAAGTTATAACGGAAAAAGTTCGTTTATTGGCTGCTCCGGAGCAAGTATACATAGTCAGATTAGAATGTACTGAACAATAATTCGTTTTAAAAGTATTTGTAACACTCTACACCTAATTTCAATATTTTTTTACCAGCAGGTTTTTGAGACTAGTTGTAGATCATATATATGACATGTATTCACCTGATTTTGTTTAGGCCGATAAAGAACTGTTAATTGAATTTTCCCAAAATCATATAAGTAGATTATGAGCATATACTCTCGACGTATTAACCACCATACCACACCGCCGAAAGCGCTTTTGGTTCACATGGCAGAAAAAAATTTCAAGGAGGGCCTTTTCTCATATCACATCGACTCGATGAGGCCTAGGCGATGGCGAAACATCAGCCATCCTAGATAAAAATATCTTTAAGGAAGCAAAGCTAAGTAAATTCAATAGAAGCCTGAGGCCTATTCATATAATTGTGATTCATCACCTGACAAGAAATAAGCTGAATACATCTCTACTTCCATTTAGATTCTTCAAACTATGTGGCTGAAGAGAAAGAATGTCATGACCATTAAGGGAGAGCTAACCAAAATTTATCCTTCAAATAGTTGTAGCGACTTCATTCAACCAATACAATAGGGTAAATTTTGTTTAGGAAGGCTATAAATTTCGGCAATTACCACAAAGCTACATCTTTAAATGAGAATTCGGATTCGAATCTAAGAGAGGACCAATCTGTATGCTTTGGTAGAAATTATTCAAGGGTGGGTTTAAAAATTTAGTGGAAAAAATTGCTGACCAAATGAGAAACTTTGTTGTATCCACACTACTTGAAAAAACACCCCCTCGAATGATAATTTTGCATTTTATTGGACCGAAAGTAACATATAGAAGCAATTAAACGCCAATAATTCGTGTAGGCGCCATGCTATCTAGCGCGCATTGTCCTCCTCCCCATACTCGCAGCTCTGTCGAAAGTATCAAGTGGCCGGAAAGAAGACATTTCCACATAAACTACGAAAATAGTAGGCCAAAAAAGATTATTTTTTTATAACTTTTGATACTTCCAATACTTCTAAAATGAGCTGATTACCCTGTGACCAGGACTCGAGTCTCTTGTCCGAACATCACTTCTGGCTCCAGGCGAGTCCAAACGAGCCTATCCACACCCTCTGAGCCGAGCCAACGGGCCAGTCGAGTGCTTTTGGTTGCCCTCACCCCTTCCTGTTCGGCAATCAGAGTCATGGAAGGCGGTATTCGGGCCATTTCGAGGCTGTAGCTGCAAATAGGCTCCATGGATAATAGCCCAGCAACCAGGCTCCAATTTCTACCACTCTGGGCAGCAGAGGAAGGCAGATGCGACCGAGATTCTACAGACTGGCTGGGAAGAAAAGAAAGTGGAGAAATGGCTGAAGGATAGGACGAGGAAGAAGCGATGAGGGAGTGTGGAAAAGGTGTCGGAGAGTGGTTGCGGACTGGTCCAGCAGGCCAAGTGAGCCAGACATGGGCTCCTGTGGGACAAGAGTCGAACTCGGAAGAATGTTGAACGTTAGAAACGGATCGACCACCAGGCGGATCGCCAAAGGGTTCTACATATGCACGTATCGGACGTTGGGGAGTTGGGAAGACTTTCTGCTTAGAAGGATTGGCTATCTCCTGGCAAAGGTCGATCTATACAACAGATGAGAAGACAAAGAAATATTTAGATATATTTAATTAAGATAATAAAAATGCCAATACAAAATATCATAAGAACAAGGGAAAGAATCGTGACGAAAAATTCAAGATAAGTCTAAGATAGAAATTTGCCTGAATTTTTTTCTGGCACGAACAAAACAAATTTGGTGCGGGTCAAAATATGCGTTAAAATACTCTCACTTAGTCTGAATATTTGGAAGAACAGAGATGAGTTTGTCATGGATAGGCAATACAAATGCTATAGAGGAATCAAGTACACCTCTGCTTATCGAGCAGAATGGCTACTGGCCAAGTGGGATTGATTTGGCCACGAAAAATTGGTAATAAATGAGGAACCATTTACATGACACAATATACAAGTAAAGGAAAGATGAACTCAAGGAAATAGCAGCTTTAATTTAATCATGACTATTTTTAACTTCTTCAACAGCGGATCTGTAAAACCAAGTTAGGCATCTCAAGTGTCCATGTTCTAAAAAATTAAAGCCTATGGCCAACGCTGGAAGAAGAGGTGTGGCTGATAATAGTACTGAAACTTTAACCTAAAGCATAGGAACAACATGAATAATCACGAAGATCCTGCCGCTTAGAAGCAGGCAAATCAGTGGGCTGGATGATTCTAAATTTTGCTTTGTGCATCAAGTACGCCGAAATGATAGTAATAAAGTTTTCAGCAAGCTAAAGATTTTGAAAAGCATGGAAACATTGGAGTGTAACTATGACCCCTCATGAACATTAAAATTGTTGAGTGGGCGTTAAAACTGGTAGGCACAAGAAACCGCCTGACCAGAAGGGTAGTTTTAAGGTGCATAAAAGAAAGGGTTAAATGATAGAAGGAAATAGCAGAGAGACATAAAATTGTTCGGTCTGTCTTCCATCAAAGTATCACATCATTTGTAGGATGGAGGGAGCAAGAGAGCACAAAAATGGGCTATAGAATTGTTTCAGTAAAGAAGTAAACTCATATAACCTTTGTAGGTGGGTAAAAAGGTAATGGGGCTTCCTACAAGAGAAGGAATAGGGAGCGAACGCGACAAATTACTTCAGTGGTCAAACGAGGAAGAATATAGCAAATGGATAGAGAATGTATGACAGAATCATGATTCATAAAATAGGCATTAATGTAAATTCTGTC